TGATTTTGTGCCCCACTTTGTTGGATACCCTTTCCTTTTGCTTCCTTTCCAAGACTATGATCACTTTCCTGGTCTGAATACCAACTTTTAACTTTCCCACTTTATCCTTGTTCACGTTTAGTTTTAGTAGGACTCATACTACTTTATCTTCTTTTCAAAGGTCACAATTATAACATAACCCCTATCACCTTTATTTTCTTAAGAAAGCAAAACTCATATATATATATATATATATATATATATATATATCTTAAATTATGGAACGAAGGAGGTAACTTATATCAAAAAAATAAAATATATAAGAAAAGTGAAAATGGGAAACCAGAATGTCAATTTGTGTGAGAATCAATAGATTCACACAGTAGAGATAGAAAAATTAGTAAACAATTACATTATTTTATAAACAGACAGAAATTAGATACACAAAGAGAAATATACTAAAGGCACACCTTCCCACCACCTCCATGGGTTGGCTTGATCAAAATAGGATACCCTATTTTTTGTGCTTCTGATATCATTAAGTCAATATCCTGTTCCTCGCCATGATATCCGGGCACAAGTGGCACCCCTGCTGCATCCATTATTCTTTTTGAAGCACTAGACAAGACCATATAAAGAAACAGAAATGATCAAAAAACCGTCCATATGACGAACCAGAAAGATGCTTCAGTGAGGCAAAGTGATCTTATTACACTCACAATTCAGCTCTACTAAAATGAAATGTTCAGAAAACTGTCCAAGTGACGAAACAGACAGACGCTTCAGCGAAGCAAAGTGATCTTATTGCATTACTCACAATGCAAATCTGCTAAAAATCACACATTGTATAAAAGTATAGACTATCACATTGCCGTCTTTCAAAAATCTCCATTTTCCTCTGTTATTCTAATATTCTACCCACAGCCCATCAATTTTATAGCGTGTACCAGAGGCACAAATTTGAAATTACATATTAAAACGATCCAATCGATTTCATATGTCGGTTCATGTTTGCAGACACCAAACTTTTTCGGGGACTGAGGCTTAGATGTTGTCGTTGTATATTAAAACGAGCATGGTACAATGGCAACAGACACTTCAAGTTAGCAACCTGTACCTTTTGTCACCCATGTCACGGATTGCAGATGCAGGAGGTCCAATAAAGATCAAGCCTTCATCTTCACACAATTGAGCAAAATCAGCACTTTCCGATAAGAAACCATAACCTGGGTGAATAGCCTGAAAAGTTTTCATTACTATTAGTGTTATTATTTTTTAAACCAGTTTTGGATTCTTTCCCTCGTACTCTGGAAATAATTAAGCACCTTCTATTCAATTCAGTACATGCCGATGGCCAAACAAACATTAAAAAAAAAACAGAAGCGAACATGTGGCGTGAAAAAAGGAGCCGCATTGCACCAAAGTAGTACTATTAGTAAAAAATACCGGGATCAAAAGGTTTGTTTACTACCTGAGCTCCGGTACGAGCTGCAGCTTCAATAATTGATGAAGCATTCAAGTAGCTTAGACGCGCCGGAGGAGGGCCAATGCGGACGGCCTCGTCGGCGGATTTCACGTGCAGATTATACTTATCGGCGTCGCTGTAGACGGAGACCGTGCCAATCCCGAGTCTTTTGGCAGTTCTAATAATTCTACATGCTATTTCGCCTCTATTGGCTATAAGTATCTTCTCAATCTTTTGAATCCCTTTATGGTCCTTCGTCGCCGGCGTGGCAGTAGAAAACAATAATTGCCGGCAGGGAATGTGCAATTTTCGGTTGATCCTCCGCCGGAGTATAAAAGGCATGTTAGAAGTCGAGCAGAATCAAAGTGCTCCGGTGGATCGATCAAGTGTTATAGACGGACAAAACCATTGTCCTATTGTAGTAATGGATTTGGATAATGATTCCGTACAACCATACGGGCAACAACTTATTAGATAGAGTTATGAAATGTGTCACATGCTAATTAATGTTAGAGAAATGATCCACAAAAACATTTTCAAAATTGTGAAATAAAATAGTGTTTTATCCTTGCAAAAAAGTTGTGTTTTATGTACTTCTTATTTATAGTAGACTCATTAATACTTTGTACTTTTTTACTTTTGGTTATCCTCTTTAAATTAAATAACTAATTTATTCAATGAATATAGCAAAGAAACACGAATGAATAATCCTACATGAATGACATACTTACTACTCCAAAGAAAAATAAAAAATTACAAATAAAAGATCCGGCTTCACTAGTCATCGCAAAGAGAGAATTAATTTGATGAGCAATCAACAAAGGAAACTCTACCAAACAGAAAATGTATGAATAATCAATTTGACCAGTCACCAAAAAGGAGATCTAGTAGAGCGATTTATTTATGCCAGAGCGAGACAATGATTCAGGAGGGGGCTAGCGGCCTCAATATTAGTGAGGAAGAAAACCATATTCATGATGATTGAACAATACACACCACTTGTTAGCAAACAAAAATACTTGGCCAAAGATGATGGCAAATATACACATGGCAGGACGCTTCACTACCGAATACAAAACCTCTAGACAATACTAGAAAAGAAACATATAGAATAATCTCAAATCAACGATTAACAACATGCATTTTGTTCATGATTCATATTGGTTATCCTTTTAATCTTGATATTATTACAGATTGACAACATCAAACCTTAAATAACTTATTAACCTTTCCGCAGTTCGGCATCCTCAGCTATTTAAGTTATCACCCGCAATACCCCTCTTTTTACAACGTCATCGATTCCCCTCTCTCCCGTTAACAACATAATGACTGTTTGTTAAATAGCGTTTTCCCCAAACCGCTAATTCATTTGATCTGCAAACCGCTGCATTTTGAAGCAGGTAGACATCAATCCGCTAGAAAACAAACGCAAACAATATCTACCTCTGTGTGGCGTGTCTGCAATAGGTAATAGGTAATCTTCTTTTCCTTTTTTCCTTTGTTTCCCTTTTCCCTCTACTCCTCCTTTCATGTGAACCTGTGATATGCATTCTCACTAGAAAACAACGTCGGAGGAAGCATGTGTGGCACGAGGAAAACATGGTCAACACGAACAACCTTCCTTCTTCCTCCGCAACCATGGCGTCCTCCCCCAATGTTTCTTCTGATCATTTTTTCATGGTCATCTCACTGAAGATGCGTACATGCGTTAACCGTGTGGCTTTGTTCATCCTCAGTTTTTAGATGACTTGTGCCGTTTATGTAAGACGATTTATGACTTTAAAAAGGCCCCACAGGCTTGATTTCACAGTTTTAGTAGTTTTTACCCACTATCAATTTTTTTTTTGTGACAAGTCGGATAACTCTTTGTTCATCTTTCGTTAGGAAAATTCTGTCATTTAATAATTTTAATTATTACTATATGTAGATGATATTATGGGTTGTTCTCCTTCAGTCGTAAGTAGTGGCTTTACTACTCAATCCACTTTTATTTTGGCTTACTCTGATACTGATTGGGCCGCAGTTGTGGACAATTCTCGCTCCACTAGTGGCTTTGTTATTTTTTAGGACATAACCTTGTATCTTAAAAGTAAAAAAAGTAGTCTATTGTTTCTAAGTCCTCTACTAATGCAGAGTATCGTGCTATTGCCTATACCGTTCAGGATACCTTACATGTTCATTCTATGCTGTTTGAATTGGGATTAGCTGTCACGGTTCCTGTTCAACATTATTGTGATCATATTTTAGTATCTTACTTGATTGTTATCATGTTAAACATGACCGTAGCAAGCACATTAAAATCATTCACTAAGTTTGTGAACGAGTGACATATGGAAATCTGGTTGTGCAATATGTTCTTACTCATATTCATCTAACATATATCTCTACCCAGAGTCTCTCCGATCAACGTTTTCATTTTTAAAGGGCAATATGCGTGTTGTATCTCACACAGATTGAGGGGTGTAATTATATTGATTAGGGGTATTTGTGTATTTCACACTTTTTAGGCAATAGCCTTCAAATTTTCAAAACTAAAATGCGTTGTTCCCAGGATTATTACAATTATTGTCACATCATGATGATATTTTATCCTCTTACCATCCGAGGTGCTCATTATTTCTCCCATGCTGAAAATTGCAGGACAGGAAGAGATCATTAAATCGTCAAAGTTATGTAAAAAGTGTGTAGGAAATAATATTTTCTTTAAGCTTTTATAGGGGCTGCAAGATTTTTTATCAACAAAAAGCACAAATTCGGTGCTCAAACATGCTTCTAGCCCAATCTGCCCAGATCAAGGCTAACACAAAACAACATAACACCACCCAAGTGTAGCATTTGGCTAAACTACTTTGTACACCTTCCTATATCAACATTACTTAAACTACTTTGTACACTCCTATATCACCAGCGTACAAAGAGCTTAGACTGTTACATCCATTTTCTTCTTAATAGTAGTGTTTTAACCAAGAAACTCTCCTCATCAATCTGACATGAAAGAGTCGAGTTCGTCCCTGAAAAAGCCTTCCCCTGAGGCTAACTTGAGTGCCGCTAACAAATGTGCAAGAGTAAATACCTTTGTGTTTGTTTCTTCTCCCTGCGTTAGTGTGTGAGAGTGCAGCGCCGCAAACCATCTTCTTTTCCTTCTTCGGTCGTCTTGGAGAACATGCATAGGAGACATTCCTTCTACTTCTCAATTTAATTATGTTTTCCCCATCAAATCGGAGACATTTAGGAAAGAGACTGAAATGCAAATTCTTAAAACTAAATAAGAGGTTGTCTATGTGTTTAAAACATTCTACGTGTCATACTTTTATTGGTCCAGCTAGGCAGAGGCACCATACCTTCATAGAAATAAGAGGCACCATAAAGGTTTTCCTTAATATAATTCATTTACATATAATTTTTTTACAGAACTTAAAATTAGTCATGGAAAGAAAGAAACAAAGAAAGAGGAACCAATGTGTTTTCATTGTGTTCTAAATCAGGATTCAGAACCAGACATGTGTATATATACTCTCCTGTCTTTAGGGAAACAACAATGAGTAACCAAGACACATGACTAAGCACTAATGTATTAAACAGGGAAAATCCATTTGTACACATTTTTGAACACGCCCCCTAATTGTGTATATACACATGCAATTCGTTACAAAAAGCAAAACTGGGGTGCACACATAAATTCCAGCATGGACACGGCGGTGTACACATTTCACCGTGTACACCAAGAATACCCATTAAACAGACAAAAAAAGACAGTCATAAGAGTTTTTTAAGTGAAAGCAACGGTCTGAAGAAGGAAGCTACAATGGTCAGGTGAACATCCTGAAAGAAAGTCTACTACAACATTGGAAACCACAAAACTTGACAGACTCGGGAGATTGGTTGACCCAAGAAAATTCGGCTTTTACAGAAAAAGGTGCAGAAGATGCAATTGCCTCCGCTGAAGCAAAACATAAATTACACATTGTATACCTTGCTCAACAACCAGAGTAGAATGATTCCAGACTCACACTCTGGATAGAAAATAATAATTATCAAGATGACGAACGCTGCTTCATATCATGTAAGTGCATAGCTAACTCATCTCTCATCATTCTCCCTATCGGATCTACTTCCTTGCACTTCTGTCTCGAATACCCAGAGTCATGATGACGAATCAAGGCGGCATCTTGGTGCAAGCGGTCCCCACAATCAATAATAATATTATGAAGCAAACAACAGACCAATATAATACTAGGCAGTTTCCGCTTATCAGGTCTCCACATAACCTTACTCAAAATTCTCCACACACCCTTCAATTGCGAGAATGCCTTTACTGCAAGTGATCTTGCAGTCTCATGCGCCTCATTGAAATCCTTCATCCTATCTGAAAGCTCGCCATCATCATCTTCATAGTAAGAAGTAATAAGCCAAGGAAGAAGAGGATAACCAGAACCACCAACTATGTACTCCCTAACCTCTCCTCTTTGAAATGTTATTTTGGCACTTCCATTTAAACGGTCTCCAGCTTCACACAGTTTGTAAAACCCAGAACATGTCAACAGTCTGGAAGTAGACATCCCCCCAGGCCAACCAGTCACTATATCTAAAAATCTCATCTGATTGTCCACAATCCCTTGGAGAAGCATGCTGTAATTCTTCTCGTTATCACACCAATCATCTGAAGTTTGAACGGTCGGAAGAGTCATTATGATGTGGGTTGTATCAATTGCCCCACAACAATTAGGCAGTCCAAAGGACCGTTCTAACTCTGACTTTATATTCTCCACTTTATTGGGACCGGGCCACTTAAGGTGGTGTCTGGCACGTTCTTCCATCGCCTCAATGAACCTCCAGGTCACCTGAGAAACAGTGGACTGCCCAACTCCAAATGAAGCTCCGACTGAAACTTGTGATTCCCCGGATGCTAACCTTCTTAAGGCTATTGCAACCTGTTTCTCAACACTAAGTAGCCTTCCTTCGATATTAATTAGACCTGAAGGAGGCCTTGAGATTAGATCCTCTCTTACCAGTGAACATATGTAATCAAATGTCTTTTTCGAAACACGGAAGAAGTATTTGAACCCTTCTTCCTCATCTGAGTGACCTGGAAATGCATATTTGTTGATTCAGATTCTCACAAACAACAAAGGAAAAAGTCTACAAAGCATGAGAAATAAGAATTACACACGACAAACCACTGTTCTTATTCTACAGGGGCCAATTTAAGATCTAAGAACCATAAACCTAAGGAAGTGATGTGCTCTTTTCAAGTATAAAATGTAAAGGTGGAATCTTCAAACGAGTGATTTCAAGCTAAAACAGCACTTCCAAGAACCGCGACATAAACCATCGATGTTAACTGGCAAAAATACCTCATTCATTTCAGTAAGAGCAGATAAGAAGTTTGGAAAAAAATTAAGGATTCGAAGGAGGAAAGAGGAATGAGGATGACCTGAGGTTTTAGAGTTCTTATGCCAGAAACAATCCCACCACTCAGAATCAATTGCCTTGTTATCCACATGAACGGAACTAATTATATTGCCGCTCTTTATCTTTCTTTTCTTCAATTTCGGGGCATCTTCGTTAGATTTCCCGGGCGGAGCCATTCACCAGAACTGAAGGCTCCGGTTTGAAAAATTCCGATTCTGTTTCCTATTTAAGAAGAATCGGGCGATGTATTCGTTTACTTCTTCCAAATGCATAATACGACGCCGTTTCATTTGTGGCAATATATAATTTCTTCCCAAATCCCGCCGAACGAGAGTAGCAGCGGGAGCACGAAATGGATGGTGAGACAATGGAACTCTACGAGCTTAACTACTCGGATCTCTCGCTTTTGTCTTCAGAGAAAGTTGCAGAATCACCCGAAGAAGCTCAACGGCTTGAATCTGTAGCTAGAATGGTGATGGAAACCCTAGGTCCGAACGGGCCGGGCCTGCTTGCCATCACCGGAGTCCCTAGAGCTTCAAGTTTCCGGCGAAATTTACTTCCTTTAGCCCGGAAGCTTGCCCTGCTCAGCGATGAAGACCGTAAAAAGCTACTCAAGGTAAATCTTTTTCTAACATTTGTTTTTCCAGTCGCGCTTTAGACATTTATCGATAAATTGTGCATTATTTTTCGTTCGCACTCGAGGTCAATTATATTAAGTAGTTAAGAAGAGAAAGTGGACAATTCCCAGAGTAAAAGCAATGTGGAATTCAGCAATAAATTACTCATATTATGGAATTTGACATTGTTTTTACTCCCATTTAGATAAATTTCTTAAAGAAAAAATGCCTTCTAAATGAACAGGAACATAATTTGGGGAGTGATGTTCCATTAAAGAACTTGGAGAGAATTGTATCATCATTTGCAAAGAAACTGGAGTATGACAAGAGGTTTAAGAGTAATTATCATTATTCGCGTGAAAGCGATCAGCTTAGGGTTGTTAAAGGAGATGAACAGTTAGAGGCTGATCGAATAGGATTTAAGAATTTAGGAAATATCTTCAACGAGCTAGGGTTTTGCATGATGGAGGTAGGACTTCGTATTGCACAAGTCTGTGATAAATTGATCAGAGGAAATGAGCTCCAGGTGAGCTTGTTGGAATCTGGCACAGCAAAAGGACGTCTTATACATTATCATTCCACAATTGACAATGAATTCATTAAAAAAACTGTTGGTGCTAACATAAGTGTAAAGAAGGGAGCCAAACCAATGGCATGTGATGAGTGGCAGCAATGGCATTATGACTATGGCATATTCACTATATTGACTGCGCCAATGTTTATATTCTCATCGTCTAACAACGAAGGGTTATTTCCAATAACTGAAGAAATTAAGAACCCGTGCATCCCTTGTGATCAAGAATCTTCTTCTCCAAGTGGGCACACATATTTGGAAATATTTCATCCAAGTAAAGATCAGACATTTATGGTGAAAGCACCTCCAGAGAGTTTAATAGTGCAGGTTGGCGAAGCGGCTGATATACTATCCAAGGGGAAGCTCCAAGCAACACTTCATCGTGTATGCAGACCACAGGAACCTAAAAACTTGAGCAGGGAAACATTTGTAGTTTTCTTACAGCCTGCATGGAGCAAACAATTCTCTCTCTCAGATTACCCTCTTAACAAGCAATTACACTCAAATGATCATAGTTGCAAGTTTTGTACCAAGGAAATGCTAAATAGAGAGAAGATAGACTCAGAGACACTAAATATATGTAGTATTATTCCACCACTTTCATCAAGGTTAAGAGATGGGATGACATTTGCTGATTTTTCTCGTGCAACTACAAATCAATACTACGGAAGTAATGGCTTGCAGTCAAGTAGATAGCTCCATGGTATGAGTCCCTATAAAGGTGTGTGTTTTTATTCCTTATAGTGGATTGTATAAAAAGTCGAGAGTTCAAGATTGAATCACATGTTGGGGCATCTGCCTGCAACGGGTACTCTTTGCTTCTTAGGAGTACATACTTGTTTATGAGGTGAGGACTAGGATTTTGAAATGACCTAATGATGTGTTTCTTATAGAAAAGTTTTGCCATCTGTGCCATAATTTATAGTGAAGGAAAATCACTCACTAACTAGGTGCTTGGCCTGGGTAGCAGCGAACATGGCTGTTTTATTCTCAGTAACAACTAGATGGCCTTTAGGCCCATATTTGTGGATTCGAGTATGGCTTTTGTTGATCTTTAAAGACAGGTGTCACGCATGCCATCCGTCCTCACCGTGTGATCTGAAAATCAAAGGTCCTTGGCGGTCGATAGGATTAAGGTGTGGGATGTGAAAAAAATGAGAGGTACAAATAGTGGTGGACCCAGACAAATAGTCACGGGTCCCTACGGGTCCCTACCATATAACTCTAATTAATATAAAATCAATAAAAAAGTTAAATATTAAAGAAACATAATGTTTCATTGTTAATGTACATTATCAAAATATTAAGATAGTCATAACGCACAAAATTGAATATAAAATTCATTCTACAATTCTACAAAATGTACTCCTAAGTTTCATTTGTTGGAAATATTCCATAATAGAATCATCACTGATAGTACCAAAAACATCTCTCTAAACATATGTAACTAACTAATCATTCAACTATTGATCACATATCTTATTTTGCCAATCATTCAATCATTCTTCACGAACTTCATATTTGAAAACTCTCGTTCAACAATTGATGTAGCTACTAAGAGAAGTAGAAATAACTTAAGTTTATACACATGCTAATATGTTAGATGCTTCTTTGTGGACACCATTGCAAATTTGCAATAGAGAGATCTACTGAACCATTCAAGTCAGAAAATCTATTATCAGGACGGGCATCTAAAATATAATTCTCAAGCTGATTCTCAAGTGTCTTTTGATCAACATCGGAAACTCTTTTGGATAAAATTATACCAATTTAAGCAAGGATGTCCTATCTAAAGCTTCAAAAGAGGAGGAAGGACATAAACAAGACACAAAATGTAACAACTCAATGATTGCCACATCAAACCTGCTATCAAACTCTGCCACGAACAAATTGGCAATCTCATGTAAACAATCATACTTGTCATTATGTATATTGGTTATACTCTGTGCCATGCGCTTCGATCTTTTTTCTTTAACGTAGTCCCGATCCATAGAAGACACATCTATATGAAATTTGTAACAAAAAGTAACAACCTCATCATACAAATCATCTCATCCAATATTTGTTTTCATTCTCCTTAAATGCTCTTTGACAAATGTGCCTAGTTTCAAAGCAGTCACAAGATCTTTTTCGCGCCTTTGCAATGCGAGTGAGAGATAATGTGTGATAGCCAAAAGATTGATCATCAAATGAAGCATGAAATAAAATTCATAAGTGCAATTTATTCAGCAATGAAATTGTTTCACCACTTTTATCATGATCTTCCAAATCTTCGAATACCTCAATCACATATTTAAATAATTTTTGTAAATTAAGCAATAATCTGTAATGAGAACTCCATCGTGTATCACCCGCTCTGACTAGTGCTAAATGTTGATTCATTCCTCTTCCTGTTTTTACTAGTTCAACTTCTAAAACACTCACCAAAGCACATGCATGCTTATCTCGAAGGCATTCTTGTCGCTTATTTGGTGAACAAATTACATTAGTTACACAACTAACATGAAGAAGTAACCAATTAACCTCATGTTGTTCTTTAATAGCGGCAACAAGTGACAACTGTAATTGATATGCTAAACAATGTACATAATATGCAAAGGGATTTTCATTTTGAATTAGAGTTTTCAATCCACCAAACTTACCTCGCATATCTCTTGGTCTGTCATAACCTTGTCCTCTTATGTTTGAGATGCACAAAAAAAGGATGATACCCCATCCCTGAGGGCCCCCCAACACCAACCGGACGACACGATGGGAGGATGTAAATTGAACTATAATCGCAATCTGACAGATAGAGAGTGGGGCTCCGTCCCCAGTACTTGCAGAGGCCCTATGCATTTTTAGCATAGTAACCTCTCTTCCCAGTTGCTGGGATTCGAACCCGGGATCTAACCCTTGTGGCACTCCCTCGCTACCATGGTGTGCTAACATGTTCTCAAGAGATTCTTTAAGAGATGACACAATTGTATCTTTTACATGAACAACACCAATAAATTTCTTCGAAACAGAACCATTACTAGCAAAAAAAATGCATAACAACCACATGCTCTATACCGGAAACATCCCCCTGATTCAACTAATATAGCAAAAACATCATCTCTTAGAGAAAATGGTTCTGCGTTTTGTTGTTAGTAATGGTTCTATTTTGGAGAGATTTACTGCCCTTGTTCTTGTAAAAGACACAATTGCATCATCTCTTAAAGAATCTTTTGAGAACATGATAGCAGAATATGGTTTGTGCATCTCAAACATAAGAGGACCAGGCTATGACGGAGCAAGTAATGAATGAGATAAGTTTGATGGATTGAAAAATCTAATTCAAAATGAAAATCTATATGCATATTATGTACATTATTTAGCTCATCAAGTGCAGTTGTCAATTGTTGCCGCCGTTAAAGGACACCTTGAGGTTAATTGGTTACTTCTTCATGTTAGTCGTATAATTAATGAGATTTGCTCATCAAATAAGCGATAAGAATGCCTTCAAGATATAAAAAAGTTTGTGATTTGGTAAGTGCTTTAAAAGCTATACTAGTTAAAACATGAAACAAATTGAATCAATAGTTAGCACTTGTCAGAGTGGGTGATACACGATGGAATTCTCATTATAGATAATTGCTTAATTTGCAAAAAATAAATAAATTTGTAATTGAGGTACTCGGAGATTCGGAAGATCACGATAAACGTGGTGAAGTAACTTCATTGCTGAATGAATTGCAAACTTGTGAATTTTGTTTCATGCTTCATTTAATGATCAATCTTTTGGTTATTACAGATGATCTCTCATAGGAATTGCGAAGGCGTGAACAAGATCTTGTGAATGCGTTTGAAACTAGTCACAATTGTCAAAAAACGTTTAAGAATATCGAAAACAAATATTAGATATGATGATTTGTTTGATGAAGTTGTCATTTTTTGTAACAAATTTCATATAGATTTCTATGGATAAGCACTACGTTAAAGGAAAAAGATCAAAATACAGGGCAACAGGTATAATTAATATGCATCGTTACAAGTATGATTGTTTGCATGAGATTGTCAATTTGTTTGTGGCATAGCTTGATAGCAGATTTGATGTGTAAATCACTAAGTTATTGCATTTCATGCCTTGTTTTTGTCCTTTCTCCTCGTTTGAAACTTTTAATAGGGCAATTTTGCTTAAACTGACACTATTTTATCAAAAAGAGTTTTTCAATTGAAATGGTTTAGTAGATCTTTATATTGCAATGATGTCCACGAAGATGCATCTAATATCTACTACTCCTAGTAGCTATAATAAGTGTTGAACGAGTGTTTTCAGGTATGAAGTTCGTGAAGAATGAGTTGTGGAATAAGATCAATGGTTGAATGATTGCTTAGTTACATATGCTAAGCGAGATGTTTTTGGTATTATGAATGATGATTGTATTATAAAATATTTCCAACAAATGAAATCTAGAAGGGTATGTTTGAAAAATTGTAGAATGAATTTTATACAACGTATGTAATTTTGTGTGTTAACTATCTTAATATTTTGATGACATGCGTTAACTAGGAAACATTATGTTTCTTTAATATTTAATTTTTTTGACTTTATATTAATTTGATTTACATTAGGGAGAGGCCTCGTGACTCTATTTTTCTGGGTCTGCCACGGCTTCTGAGTGAAACTCTTACTTTTCTCAGATGAAGAGTGCCGCCATCTGAATTAACATTATTCCCTTCATCTCGAAGTGTGTCCCAAACTCTCTCGACGACCTGGAGCACTATGCTCTCAAGATCGCTGTCTTTAGCTGAACACAACATCAAATAGGAATAGATGAAGCCGAGTTGAAATGTTTTTGTGGTGGTATTTGTTTATGTTACCATTATAAATGTTGGGAAAGAGAAAATGATGCAATTGTATGTGCAATATTTTAAATTCTGAAATTAAGTTTGAAAAGGACTTAATAAAAAATCATAGAAGCTAAGTAGAAGTTCACACGCGTACGGCGTGCATGGCCATGATAAAAGACCTTTTGTTATGGTGGGATTAGTGCTCGGTGCGTACGGTACTCTGAAGTGGCATGACCGTTATAATGTAGACTAGTGTTTTTTACGCGCGTTGCGCGATATACAAGTGCCCAATATAATGTAGCTCATTATGTGGCCCTAATATTAGGATTTGTTCAAATAGTGGATAGTTTTGTTTAATATGATTCAAACCCAACCTTACTGACCGCCACAACATCATCTATAATAATTCTAATTGAAGTTATGTGTACGAACAAATTCAAAGCCTCTTTATTAGACTGATTTTATTCATGGCAAGAAATCAACGCTATAACTTGGAAACAGAATTGTTGACATCTATTTCTGTTTAATGACAAGCTTCAGCCACCATACATATCTATATAACACAATCACAATTACATTCCTCTCACGCATTTGATCATAAATTAGCATTCCTTTCTCAGCAATCCCGATTGAACATGCCCTGGGAAATTAAAGCACCATGAAACCAAGTTACACATGACTTTGGAACACTCACAGTGTACATGTTAATCAAAGCACTATGAACATAAACATATGATCTTAAACCCCTTTGGAACACTCTCTCTACCTTCAAATATGGAACACCAGTAAATGCTAGCTTGAAAACTAATTTGTGTTGTTCTCAATTTGGTTTTGTTTTGCTCTCAATGGACTTGAAAAGAAAGAGACAATATGTAGAAATTACCACATTCTGTCCACTACATGTAT